TTCGTCGTCATAAGTCCACGTCCTGCATAAAACGTCAAATTGGTTGGTTTCACGTCTTAGTCGTGTAGTGGACGTCAAAGTTGTTGTTTTGATCATTAAACCTATTGGTTTTTTGTGGTTGTCGTCGTAGTTGCTTAAACTACCTAATAAATCCCGGATGTAAGTCACGGCAAACCGCTTTACAGTACGGTATTTCTAGCCCGCGCGTCGCCCGCGTGGCAGACTTTCGAAGGAAGGCGCGGAGTAAGAGGAAAACATCGCGCGAGTGAGGTCGCGTAGAGCATGCGCGATTTGCCCCTTTCTTCATCCTTCCTAAACACGGTGACTGGACTTGCTCCCTAAATGATATCAACCCCTTCATTATCCACCCAGCTCATGAAAGGTTGTTCACACTACATGTACCACGGTCTACGTGCCCTCCTCTTTACGAACAGCAGTGTAGGGTCTTTTGCGACCGACCAGAATCAGAACAGTGAAAGAGCTGTGAGATTTGGCCTACGGTTTTTCGCCTTTTATTCACCCTTGAATGTCTACGACGTAGGTTAACGTGTTACTTAAAAACTACTGACCCTCGAATAAACACCGTACCCTTACCAAGAGCGCAGTGTTCATTTCAAGTGCGTAAATTCAAGGTCGGCAGTTACTCGAATAGTGTCAACGTCAGTATGTTGAACACATTTTCCTTTAAATCAACAGCAAAAACGTTTTCGTTTGGTCGTATTGCGTGCGAATGAACCATGGAATAAGCCATGGACTGATTAAGCTCTCTATATATAGACAAAAGTGAAATAATACGAAAAAAAAATGCTTTAATTAAGAATACATCTCAAAGCAACAAAGAAAAAGAGGGGAAAAAACAATTTAAACTGCTTTATCCCTTTTACTTTCAGACTCAGAATAAACGGCTGTGGGATATTCGATGTTCTTAGTTTCGATGCTAGTAACAGTCCAAACGCAATGATTCCTCATTTTCAGGTAAATGACTGATATTTCATTTCTCTTGAAGTAAAAACTTGACTCTATTTTAATTTTGTTGTTATTTTCAGCCTTTCTTAAAACCGTCCATTAAAATACCACTTTTTTCGGTTTCAGCAAGAGGATTTGACATCCCTTGGTAAGCTGATCTTAGCCTTGGCCTGCTACTCCCTCCAGGCCGTTCAGCGGGAGCACATTCAACAATCATTAGAATACATGGCGATGAATTACTCAGTAGATCTGAAAAATCTTATCATGTATGTACAGTCTATTCCTTAACCTTACAGGAAGTAGTTTGTAATTACTTTAGTTTTGCATTGGCACGCTCTATGATTGGCTGAAAAATTTCGCGTCACCTTCTCAACCAATCAGAAAAAAGTGACATGTGCGAGTTCGTTTTCCCGCGGGTTGAGTTTTTTTAACTCCAAAATCTGATTGGTTTATTGGAATTTCTACGCGTATTATGATTGGTCAAAATACTTAATTTGGTTTTACCTCTGTTGCGCAGTCTGGGGCAGAGAGAGAAAGAAGTGGGGGCGCTCACTTGTGAAGAGGAACTAAACTTGAAAATTGTACTAAGATGGGTACATACGCCCTTGGGGCCATCTAAAGGCATCTATGGGATGATGATGGTAGAAGTTTTCTCGGTCTAAACTGCGGAATACATCTGCTATTGTGAAAGGTTTGAACCCAGGAGTCGTTTCAAAAGTAGGTTGAGTTTGATCGTCCGAGTGAACGTAGTCCTGAATAGGACTGTTGTTGTTGACAGTGACTGACGTTTCGACAACCTGTGAGGAAGTCAATTCAGAGTCAAAGCGAGTCGTATCACGTCAGTTGATGGTATTATACTCTGGTTATTGATCTGATTGGTCAATTACGTCGCGATGTTATTGGTCGTCTGTCAGTTAAGCCGTGATGTTATTGGCTATGAAGACTCGTAATCAGTAATTGGTGTGTTTTGATCCGTCTATTGTCACAGTTAAACAGTCGTCTATTGTTAGTCAAATTCCTCTTTCTTTGTTTTTTTTTGTTTTTGCACTTTTGTTAAATAAGATTTGAGAGATGAAATAACCCTGGGTACGAATTGACCGGTTTGCCGTTGTTTTTTGTAAGACACTATTCTGTGATTTCGTTAGATATCTGCTCAGCAGTCCCCTTCCAGCGCACATGAAGAGCGTGAATGATGTCATGCCAATGATTGGCGCTAGGTTTTACACGCAGCTGGATGCAGCGCAAATAAAGTGCGACATTTTAGAAGGAGAATTAGCCAAGGTAAAGTGAACGTCTTTAATTCTTGTAGGCTTAATCTAAATCTAAAACTGTGCAAAGGTCCCGCATGGGATATATGCGCACAGTTTCTTGTGTAACTTCATTACAGCCAATAAAAGGAGCGATGACTTCCCCAAAACAGTCCCATGGTGCCGCGCAGTCTCAAAAAGGCCTATTAAGGTCAACAGCTAGTTGTAATTTTCTCTCCTTATATGGTAGAATATCCCAAGTGGCACTTGGCAGTTGAAGATTAATACGTCATCTCTTTATTCTCTTTTGTTTTGTAGGAAATGGAAAACGGCCGACTTTTCAGAGTACTCTGCAAGATGGGAACTATCAACGAACGACCAGAGTAACAAATCTTGTTTTGTTTATAGATTTTCTTAGTAACGTATTCACATACAATGAAAAAAGAGTGCTGATGCCTTAAGGGTATCTTTGGAAATCGCTTTTTAAGATTCAGTAAACCTGGGATGACTGTCGGGATGATACGTGAAGCAGCTAGGAGCCATTAAATAATATTGAAGCTTTTTTTTCTTAATTACCTTTACTACTGAGAGCTTTCTACGAAACTTTTGTGTTCTGAACTAGAGGAAGCTGTCTGTCTCGCCCGAATACCACTAAGATAGTACAATGGCTATAGGTTTTGCTGTCACCATTTTTGCGTGTTAACCCAATCTAAAACAAATCTTCCTCCAATTTTTTTGTCTATTTATGTGTAGAATGTAGGCTGAGTGATTTTGATCTAAAATAGTCGATGGTATTGTAGTGTTAAAAAACTTTGAAGGCGGCGCGTTAGACTGGGTTGGTCTTGTGTCGAATTGTACTGTGGGACAGTTTTTGGGGACTAGCCATTCACTACTCACACATGCAGAGTGGACCATAATGCACGTTGTTTCCCCCCCCAGAATTTTGCATGACCACTGTTTCCAATTACTCCAGGATATTACAGTCGTCCCAAAAGAAATCGAAGACAATGGTTATGCAAAGTTTTGGGGGTAAACAAGGTGCATTATGGAAAATGTGAAAATGGTGAATTTAAAGATACAGTCAAAGCTCTCTTTGCGACCAGCTCTAGTTACGACCACCTTTGTGAAACCCTGTTTGATCTGTGACGGAAACTTTTTCATGAAAAGCTATCGTAAGCGACCGCAACCATTTTATGGATTACCCAACTGGACTTTTCTCAGAGTCTTATTGATATAAATCAGCACTTTAATGAAACTTCACACTGCGCCAATGTTCTTAAAAATTGGACGTAAAGTTTATCCGTGTCTATATCAGATATAAACACACTCTTCAAACATTAATTTCTTTTTTTGCTTTATGAATTGTTAATGAGTTTCTTAAGCTCTCGTAAGCGACCACCTGCTATTGTTTTACCATGCGTTCGCTTACGACATCTCATTTTCGAAAGCGAGCCGCTCTAGTTACGACCACTTTTTCCGAATTTCCGAGGTGGTCGCCTACGAGAGCTTCGACTCACTGTAGCATGGTAAACTGGGTTGCTGGCCAAGACAGCCATGTAGTGCCCAAGGAAATAACGAACCCAATGTCGCGCACTTCCAATAGACCTCCTTAGCTTGTATGTTTTGTTTTCCTAATGAACGTCTCAGGAAAATTTGCCCCTTTCTCTATTCATAAAAGATGTAGTAATCAACTCCTGGCGTATATGTGCAAGTGAATAAGTCGAAATTTGAAAGAAGCAGTTCTCGAGGAAATTATCACATGACCCACATTGGGAAAATAAAACGTACAAGCTTAGGAGGTCTATTGCCCATTAGTAAAATCCAACTAGTGGTCTATTATCAATGCTGTGTTTTGACTGGTTGAGCTACTACTAGGCTTTTTTTTTGCTCAATATTTTTGACCAACTAGTTGGATTTTACTAAAACAATGATTCCTCTCGCCCTCATGGCCTCTGAGTCAATAGCCCATTCAGCCTTCGGCCTCATGGGCTTTTGACTCAGAGCCCATGCGGGCTTGAGGAATAATTGTTAAATATTGAGAGTTTTTTCGCGCATTTAACTCGTCCCCACTCCTTCGCAGGTTCAGCATGGATCCAAGCTGGTCGGAGACTGGTGACAGGTATCTATTGAAGCTTTTTAGAGACTACCTGTTCCATCAAGTGACGGAGAGCGGAGCACCATGGCTAGACTTGGCTCACATTGTTGCTTGTCTGAATAAGGTCAGTTTGCAGAAAATACGCAGTATTTAGTAAATCGGATCGTTTTTTAATCACCAAAATTAAAATTTTTCGTCTTTGCTTTTTGTTAAGTCAATAGCCTGCATGTAGTCGTTTACGCGGGCGAGCAAAAAATACAGGAGCGGGAGGGTGGGGCGGGTAAAGATTATTTGAATGTCTGTTGTGTAAAAAAACGTAGGAGAGGGGATGGCTGAGGTGAGAAAATAGCATTGTCACTCCTTTACCCCCCTCCCCGTTCCCAACAGCTTCTTCACACGCTTCCGTGCAACAGCATTTTCCTTAGAATCTATTTTCAAGTAATTTAGCGATAGACTTTTAGAAACTCCTGCCTATTGCAAATAGCTTGTGAGCAAGCTCTCCCGGGGGTACACAGTGCCCTGGAGAGCTTGCTCACTGAAGGTCCTGCTGGCAGTCGATCGATACGTAATCTGTTTTTTGTTTTCTTTTTTTTTTGTTTTCAGCTGGAGGCAGGTACATCAGAGAAAGTTTGCCTCGTCTCTCGCGATGAACAGTCGGTGTTAGTGGTATCTTACCGCGATCTGAAGACCTGCTTTGAGGGTGCCTTTAACGAAATCCTTTCTGCGTCTTTGACGTAAAACCCGATAGAAATATTTGACAGGCTTAGTATTACGTTTACGGCAAACGTCGATTTTTGAACCACGTGATTAAGTTTACCCTTTACTTCAATTGTCGTTTTCTTTTCATAATACCTACACAAAAGTTATTTGTTTCGGGTGTGTTTTATCGATAGGAATTGTATGGAAAGTTTTTATCTGCTCATTTCCTAAATTGAGATTTTGTCAACTTGAATCTCACATTTGCCGTTTGCTGTAAACGTAATCCTTAAACCGATCTATTATCAAGACCACTAAAGCTTCTACCATTCCCTGTGAACAGAAAGAGAGAATCGGATCAAGTGAGTTTTCTGGGTATCTGACCACCTACCCCTCCCCTAAGTCAACATTAACGCTTCCTTCTCACTTAAGGCCGAATTGTGACTTAGGGGAGGGGTCAGTTACCCTGAAACTTTATCCGACACGCAACGAATCCTTTTCGTGTCACGGTCTTCGCGACAATCTTTACGCCCATGCGCGGAGGCTTACTGTTTACCGAGTGGTATATACGAGGCAATAAAAAAAACAAACAAGCAAAGTTCGGAAACTAATTTGGCAAATGGTAGTTTTTTAAAAAAAAAACAGCTGTGCCGGGGCGACCGGCGCAAGAACCAACGGGTGCCAGTATTTCACGGCGTTTCTTTACCTATGTTACGTCACGGTTGATACAGCAAAGTGGATACAAAATATGATTACAACTAACTAAACCATGATCTGCGAAACTCTTAAACACTTTTCCAGACAGAGACAGTTATGGAACCATCTGGTTTCATGTTTTCATAAAGAACTTTGATCGTGGAAGATTTGAGCTGACATGAGTACCAAGAAAATTATGTCTTTCTTTTTTGCGGTTGTTAGTTTGTTCCTTTTTTATCGGTAGCTTGTTTCTTTGTTTGTTTGTTTTTCATACCTGTATATTATTGACGTATAGTTTAAAAGTATTTTTTGCAAAAAAAAAAAATTCCTTTTTGATTCGCTTCAAGTTCCCCTTTTTATCGAATAAGGCCTACATACAATTCATGGATGCAAAATGTTGTGCAAAAAACGCCCCTTTCAACAAAAAAGCTTTGAAACGTTTTGGCAGTAAAAGATAAACATCAAATCTCTCTCAGTAATATCAAGTGTTTTCAATTTTTCCAATCATAAGAAATCATTAACAGTTTTCCTGTAAGGGAGACAGAGGACGGTATATTATTATCAAGATTTTGCTCAAGAAACTCTTTAACGGTTGCTTCCAGGCCAAGGTTTCCTAAAGCGCGGCTATCCGCTGGATAAATCACATTGGATAGAGGTTTCTCCAGTGGATACCGCTATCTGTCTTTTGAACAACTGGGGCCAGATTGTTGTTTTTATTTTTCTCGTAAGCATGGGTTAGTTGCTTACCTATCATCCTCCAGCGTTGTCGAAAATTATTGTACATAACTTCGAAAACTTTCAAATCCAATGTTTCAACAGGGTTGTCCCTATAAGGCGTCTTAACATTCGTTAAAGTGAAAGGATAGAGTAAACTTTATATGTAAAGTGTAAAGAAAAAATCTAGCTCTCGTGTAGATACTGTGCAATAATTGTACAGCAAAGTTTTCCACTGAATACTCTAAACGTATTTTTCAATATTTATAGTTAAAGGAAGAGTAGCTATAAAGGTTTTTAACGAATTATTTTCAAAGTCTAATATTTAGCTCCTTTCCCCGCTGAAAGGACCTTCAAATAAATTCGATATTTATGCTATCGAGTTTGCACAGAGTGATGTAAATCTGTACGTTCAATCAAAATTCTAGACGTGTTACAAAGTAAGATTTTATTCAAGATCATATTATAAAAATGAAAGGCATCAATAAACAAATGTTTGAACGTTAAAACTAACTTGCTGTGATAATTGAGGAGGTGCGTTAGTTAATTTCCTTTGTGATTATAAAAATTGTCAAATGTCGCGTCGCGTGATAACCCTCTTATCTCCTTTTGGAAATAGCGCGAGAGATTGGGGATCACTGCTTACGGAAGGCCCTCTGCCTCCTCTTGAGCTTCACACACTACTCGCGTGGTTTCTCCTCCTCACGCAATTCTCAATTGAAGAGGTTGATAGCGGATAGAGCACTTCGTGAAATTACGCGTGATTTGCTCCTCCAATGTTTGAGAGACAATTCTAGTAATTCTAGAAACAAAGGAATATTTTTAAAAACGATTCCTTTCGTCGTGATCAAAACTTGTTAATTTTGAAACTGACTTTGCTACGTTTCCTTATCAGTAACTACTCCAGGCAGATTTTATAGCATAGTTAAAGCGACGTCAAGTGAGGACGGTGCTCATTTTGCTGCTCTGCCATTGGTCAATTCGGTTTTTAGATCTGTGCGCGCCGTAGTCTTTGTCCTAACAGTTGCCTTTCTTAATCTGTTAATCTGCACGTTATTTTCTTCAGTAGCGATATCGCGAATAATAATGCACATGTATCCACCAACTAATGGCCTGTTTACATGAAGGTGGGGGACCCCAGGTAGGTGTGGACAGGCGGGTTACCTCACCTACCTGGGGTCCCCCACCTCCATGTAAACAGGCCCTAAATTAGCCTGCGAAAACATCCGTTTCTCCTCGCTCTTCGCCGCTGGGGACGTTTCGCGAGGAGGAACGAAACGAAACGTCCCCAGGGGCGGAGAGCGAGGAGAAACGGATGTTTTCGCAGGCTAGCCCTAAATTAGAGTTGGCCGGCACCTTTTCTAGACTCCTATTGTTGTTTGAGTTCCTCTACTATTATGAAACTCATTCCCAGGGACTCTCCTTTACCTCGTTCGAGGCAGACAAAACAAAGAGAGAACCTGGGACATCTCTTTCCTATTCCTTTCATCTGGCTGAAACAAATCCATCTTAAACATCTGTTGTACACGAATTTGAATCTAATTTTGGCTAATTTGATTCACCAAAAATAACAACACGAACTACGCAGTTTTTTTACAGACATCAATATTTCGCTGCTTTTTTCCCATGTACTGTATAACTTTGAAACAGTAATCAGAATAAGCGATAAACGCACTGCTCTTAATCAACTTCGATGATGTCGTAAAATTCTGATGAATAATAGCTAGATTTTTGCTGCTCCTTGCAAAGCGACAGGCGACAACACCGCCGGCAACATGAGAAGACGATCTTCAGCACGATGAATGTAACAGGAGTGAGTCCAGCGGCAATGTGGTACACGTCATCTGATAACGAGGCGCTTGGACACACCGTGGCTGATATGTATACGAGGAAGGTCATCAGTGGAATGACACTGAGCTTCAGTGCGAGGTACGTGTGTGCGCGAGGCGACGCGCGAGGATCCGCGCGGGACTCGAGAAAGTTAGGACCTTTCAGTAAAGCGATAGTAAAAACAATTGCTTGAAAAATACTGGCACCAAAGACGATAATCGCTCCCGATTGGACAGCAAGTCGGCTGTCAGACTTGCCGTGCCCTGTATAACGATTCAGTGTCACGTTGATTAATGGCGACAAACCCACGAATGCCAAAGAGATGTTATTGCAGACCAGCATCACTTGGTTCAGCCTCTCGATGCAGTGGAAGAGCGAGTGGTGCGTGAACCACAAAAGCGCGACAACCATGAAAGTAGCCCCATAAGTGAAGATCTCCGACTTCATGTGTGACAAGGTTTTCTGGATACCATCGCGTTCGACGTCTTTATGGTTCGGGAAATCTTCCGCTGTGATATCCAGTATGAGCAGCGTAGACACGATCGCGAAAAGGCCATCGCTGAAAAATTCCACTCTCTCTTTATCTACGAGGTTTCCGAACATTCGGTCGAACTCGGATCCTGTCAGGGGGATGCGCGAAACCTTCCGATAAACAACCCCCACGAAGCGGTTGATGCAAGGCGAGAATATGACTATTGCCACCACGACTAAAGCAAGTTGTATCTGCGCAATGCTGATCACACCGGCTAAAACATACAAAATGGGATTTACAGCCTTCTTCACCAGCATTAGTTTCATTCTTTGTCTGATTTCGGGATGCGTGAGCTCCTCAAATTCTTCGTCCAGGAGTTGCGGATGGTGAAAAGCATACACGATCATAACGACTTCTAGAATCTCTAGGGTGAGCAAGTTTCCGCAGATAAGCATCATCGGAAGGTACTTGTTGGTGAACATACCCTCCAGAGCGCATGTGAACGGTAGAAATGAGGTAAACAGCAGCGATGCGAGGTTGAACCAGACGAGAACGTCATCGACTCGGGACAAGATTCGAAAGCGAAGGACATGCGATTCCCACACAGCACAAATCACGAGAAATCCGACCAAATATATCAAAAGCTGGGGCCATCTATCACTGAGCTGATCCTCAAGACTAACGTTTTCCTTTGCGTTCTCCTCGAGCTTTCTTATTGGTAAAACTAGGATGGTCGCGACAATAGCGAATACGGCGTCGTTAAAGCATTGAAGACGTTTCAATTCAGAAAGATCTATGTTGTCCGTTGTGGACATGTTGCTCGTTGTGAGTCTCTGAACGGCTTTAGGCGAAAGAAGGCTTAGTCAAAAGCTTGGAAGTTCCGCTTTTCTCGGAAATCTCTAGTGAAGTATCAGCCTACAAACTTCAATAATCCTTGATCACGAAATCCAGTTAGTAATTCGATCGTAAATCACGCTATTTATGTCTCTATCAAACCTAAAAGCGTCGCACCGTGTTCTGAACAGTCATCTTTTGCATAGATAGAGGAACCGAAGTTTTCTTTGCTGTAGCTTTAGCAGTCTTCAGTGAAAATGGGCCGTTTGTTTTGATGCTCTTTCAGAAACTCGATCGCGTGACCCATACCGGATTGATGATGTGGACATTGTCACGCGACCAATGTCTCCTGTAGAATTCACACTTCGGCCTAAAAAGAGGAGCTATCTTGTTGTTATAATTGTAACTATACCAAATACCTTCCAGAAAACCAAAATTTTAAACCTTTCGATTTCCAAATTTTCACGTTCAGGTAACAAAATACAAAAGCGCATTACATTCTTACAATTTTGTCGGTAACAATAATAATAGTAAATCAATAATAAAAAACAGGCCTGTTCTGAAACTATAAATGTAGATAGGCTTGTTGTCGATCAGAATTGTAAGGCTTACAATTTCAGTGCGCCTCGAAAAAAGGAGCGTTTGCTTATTAATTTTCTTATGATAGTAGAGCAGATATGTGCTCAAGTTGTTCACTTTCTGTTAAAAGCATGAAATTTGGCACGATAATAGTTTTTAAAGCTCTAAAAAAGATAGGATATGGTGCCATCGCCAAAAAGTCCGTTAAGTGTGAAAAATAAGAGTTTTAAAATGGCGGCCATTTTGAACCGAAGTAAAATTAACATTTCCTTTAAAATTTTAGCAAGTTGGAAAACAAAATGTCAGCAAATGTCTAAGGCAGCTGTTTTTTCATACAAAGAGATATTATTTCAACGCAAATTGTCTTAAAAGTAGAATAAAGATGATATAAGTTGCCGCCAGCTAGACCGGAACTAAAACTACCGGAGTCGGAACTTTATTTTAAGGAATGAGCTTAAACTTCTGTTGTGCCTGCTAATTTTCTTTACTTTAATATTTTCTTTAAATCTAATGTATACACTCAATTTACTATTTTCATCACATATAATCCATCACTAAACTTGAGGTAATGACTTGATACTTCATGCCGACGAGTGCTTGTAATCGAAAAAAAGAGTTGGGCATTGCCTTTCACGATTGTCACTCTTCTGAGCACAGCCCTTCTTACGAGCGTACTTGACTAGTTCCACCCTCAGCTTGGTAATTTCTGACAGTGGTGTGCAGGAGAGTCGCTACTCTCCTCTTAGAGATATCCAGCCCAGTCTTGCAGACTAGGAACCTAGATGCTTGGTACCCGTGCCTGCTGACTCCATATGTGGCCAGCATGGTTCGCCTTCCTTTTGAAATCTTTAAGTAATGTAGGTCGGGTCGAAGAAACTACTTTTGGCTTCGTCAGTTGACAGTAAAGAACTACTTTTAAATCGTATAGAAGAACGTGTAAGCGAAAACAACTCCGATTATTTCTGGAGGTGACCGGAAGTATTCACCTTGTCACACCTGTGAATGCATGGAACGGAGGAAGTGCAAGTGCAGCCTTTTTAGTAAATACGTTAGCAATCTCGTAGGCTGCAAGGTAGCGTCGATGTACATTAGTACCAAGATATATGATAGGGAAGCTAACTTGGCTTCATGGTAGAGAAGCTTCATGGGTAGTTAGAATGGAGAGTGGACTCAACGAAAATGTCTTGGGCACAAACAACATAGAGACTTAAAAGAAGGGAATCTGCTTTGTGATCATGATATAGCATAACAATAAATGCTTTCAGGCGAATTGACTTCTAACGATGCAGGGAAAAGACTGGACATCTGGCCCTAGACCACATGCGTTGCTCAATGTGCAAGGAATCTAAAAAGCACCTGCTTGTTTCGATCTTCAAAAGAACTAGCTTTTTCCAGTTTCTTAGTATAGTTCCTGATACACGTTTACCCCAGCCCAGATCTTAGTCTTCAAGCTGTTTTCGGCACGACACAAATATTTGTCACATACAGTCGACTCCCCATAACTCGAACCCTCGGTAACTCGAACCTCGGGCTAACTCGAACCAAAATCGATTTCCCCTAGATTTCCGTCCTACATTCACTGTAATTTTACCCTCTGTAACACGAACCCTCGATAACTCTAACTCCCGCTAACTCGAAACAATCTTCGTTTCCACTCAGGTCATTTTCTATATAATTTTACCCTCGATAACTCGAACCATGTTTTGAGCCCTTAAAAAGTCGGGAAAAAAGCCGTCTACTGGCGTCCGAAACTTTGAATTTTGGATTTCCTATTGACGTGTTGTAGGAGTATAGTTCACCAGTGGAGGCTAATGTTGATTGTCACAGGCTAACGTGAAGCAGCTTTTCCTCTCAAAACAGTAAAACGCATGCTCTATTTAAGCTATGTTTTGTTACGTTACGTTCTGATTTATAAGCTAAAAGTATCTTTTAATTTTCACTTGACATTTCTACAATTAAATGTGAGTAAAATGTTTACTGTGCAGTAAAAACTGTTTTTTACCTTACTCTCGGTTATTTTCTTCAAACTCCCGTTAACTCGAACTCCCGATAACTCGAACCTTTTTTCGATTTCCGTTGAAGGTTCGAGTTATCGGCAGTCGACTGTACTATATGTAACAGAATACGTTTTACATGCTCAGGGGATTAACGTAAGTGATGCACATTCGGAAAACGCTTTTTCCTTATTTTCTTCCATGTGGACTTTAACATGATAATCAGTGCTGCTCAGTCCATGATAGTTAAATGCAAGAGCCATAATAGGACAGAGAGGGACTCTCAGGGCGTTGGCCGGGATTTCTTAATTTCAAAAAAGTTATTTTTAGAACTATGCGGACCACGCGGAAACAGTTTCCGGTAAACTCATTGACTTCCGGAAGACTCGCTTTCACGATTCAGCGCGCCAAAGCGAGGCGGCCTCAACAAATAAGAAAAATGGCGGCACACGTGGAGGGACGATGTGGAGTTGATAAATTGGCCTTCTTCAACAAAGAACCTACCGTAGAAACTGCTTAAAACTTCAACACAAAAGGGTCCTTTACAAGCAACGGTAGAAATCGGTTAAAGCGACCGCGTGACCATCGTTTTTGTTTGAAGAGCTGGAAAGAGGACAAGTAGCATTGCGGCCCGGATAAGCGTTACCGTTCAAGTGACCATGTGGACGTATTTTCTATTGAAAGAGGAAGGAAAAGAAAGTATAAAGGTTTCCAGTATTTTTGTCAAGGACATGACCGGGAAGGGGGGAATCTTGTGGAACACACCTTTTCCTGCTTGACTGATATTTTGTTCCGCACTTCACATTGGATAATTAGCAATTATTCTTTATTGAACACGAGGTTAATAAAAGCGGAATATTCGCGGCGAGGTTAATTAATTCGGTAAACAATAGGTTTGATCTTTACAGAATTTTCAAACATTGCAAATCAAATCGGAAACAATAGCCTAATGGGTTACATGGAATCGCCAGAAGTTTAAATTCAGCTGTAAATTGTACTTCCAAGCCTAAGAAGAAAAGTAGCGCTTTGTTTTCATCTGTCGACTCGCCAAGTTAGGGAAAAAGGTATTTTGTGCAGCTAATTTGTGTTGTTCTTCGTTGGTGCAGACAATGGTGGCCCGGTTGCTCGAGGAAAGCAGCCATTTCTCTGTAGTTTTCTCTGTCCTGATTAACTGAAATCTCGAGCTTTCGTTAAGATTTGCAATTGGTTTCATTTTTTTTCCTCATAAGTCAGTTGAATTTGATGTAGGGGGAAAATTTAAATGTTGAGTTTACACACCTCTTCTACTCGATTAAACTGTAATTGTCAACATTCCATCGAGCAAAAAATACTGCTAAAGTTAATCTGAAAATAGTCTTTTGCAACTTTGAAGTCCTTTCATACCTTCAAAAAAGTGGACCCTAGAATTTTGCCGAATTCTGAAAGGTTCTTACTCTTAAAAAAAAATTGACAATACAACGAGCTCACGAATTATTTACTCGCGAGGCTAAAACACTACAAAGACCACTTAGTGTGTATCCTGAAAACGATTTTTGCTTGTAAAAGCTTTATTTGTGTAAGGTTATTTGTGTTTTTCATGTTGCAAACGGCACTTATGTCCAGGATCGATCTTGTTAGCAAAAATTTGCTAGCAAATTGTTTTCGCAATTTTAGCAAAAAAAGATTTAAAGAAAACTGCTATCAGAAAAATAGAGAAGAAATAGCAAATGTCACAAACATCGCAAAAGTAAGAAGAATTTTTCTTGCTACGTGAGAAGATTGAGTAACAAATATGGCGAAAATAATGGGAATAACAAATTTTTCAAAATTCTACTTTTACAAAGAGAAAAGGCCAAGAAGGGCTTCGTGAAAGCCGCAAATTTCGCAAAAATCGCAAAAGTAACGGGCATTTTCCTTGCTAAGGGACTGTGCAATAATTATCTGGAGGGGGGGCTCTAAAATTAGCAAAGTAGGCCTTAAAATAAAGTTGCACCCCCCCTGAATTAAAGTTAAAATAACTTCTTGTCCACCCCCGTCTAGAGGGGAGATTACTTTCAATCCCCCCTCCCCAACCTCCGATCCTCCCTTCATCCCTCTTTACCTTTACACTACTTCTGGTATGTCTGCATCATCAATAAATAAAACTTGGAAGCTGCGCTCCACATAATCGTCGCCTGATGAACCACCTTCATACTCGGTTGACTCCTCAGAATCACTTGAGGTATCATCATGAGAACTAGAGGGCATGTTTTCATCATCATCTTCGATGTTTTCATCAAATGTTCTTGCTACAGAACCATCTGCATGCTTAAGTATTCGCTCAACTAATTGTGCCTTGTTTCCAGATACCATTAGGCCTTCTTGCCTTAGATAGAGCCGAAGTTGCTTGTTAGTCAGTCTTTCAACATCGTCTCTGCTCTCCCAACAAATATCTTCTGGAATGGTGTTTCTTTCAGATTTCTTTTGTCTGCTTTGTAACTACTGTGGCTGCCCTCCGGCCAAACACAAGCGTTGTAACCCTCCTGGTGCAGCTCGGTCTTCGGGTAGCGATACTGTTACTGCTTCGTCACCTGAAAATCTCGCACCTTCTTCCCTGTTGGGTTTGCATTTTACCCCTCCGAAGGAGCCGAAGTGGATGCATACGAAGTACGGATATGTGCCAAATGCCCGAAAGAAAATACGCTTATTTGGAAATGGACTACTGCCAAAGTTTTATGACAGTTTCAAAGCAAGGGCTGGTGGTAATATTCCAGAAATGAAAAAGATGTTCATTGCAGAACGAGACAGGCAATATTTCATCAATCAAGAACTGGAAAAATGCCAAAGTGAATTTAACTATCTCTTATCCGATAACCCAGCTTGTGCTGGCAATTTTCTTGCAGAGAATTACAAGCCAAA